GTGGCGACGCGACGTTCGTGATGTCGCAGTGCCATTGGGATTTGCGCGGCAAAGTGCGTTTGCGTGGCGCCATGCCCAAGAGCTTCCTACAAGAGTGACCCACAAGAGTGTCCTACAAGAGTGTCCCAGATAGAGTGTCCCACAAAAGTGTCCCGTATGAGTGTCCGACAAGAGTGTCCCGCAACCGTGTCCCACAAGAGTGTCTCACAAGAGTGCCCCTTAAGAGTGTCCCACAAGAGTGTCCTATAAGAGTGTCCCACAAGAGTGTCCCACCAGAGTGTCCCTCAAGAGTGCCCCACAAGAGTGTCCCACAAGAGTGTCTTACAAGAGTGTCCCACAAGAGTGTCCTACAAGAGTATCCCAAAAGAGTTTCCTACAAAAGTCTCCCACAAGAGTGTCCAACAAGAGTGTCCCACAAGTGTCCTACAAGAGTGTCCCACAAGAGTGTCCCACAAGAGTGTCCCGCAACAGTGTCCCACAAGAGTGTCTCACAAGAGTGTCCCTTACAGTGTCCCGCAAGAGTGTCTCACAAGAGTGTCCCTTAAGAGTGTCCCACAAGAGTGTCCCTTAAGAGTGTCCCACAAGAGTATCCCAACAAGTTTCCGACAAGAGTGTCCCACAAGAGTGTCCTGTAAGAGTGTCCTACAAGAGTGTCCCACAAGAGTGTCCCACAAGAGTGTCCTGTAAGAGTGTTCCACAAGAGTGTCCTACAAGAGTGACCCACAAGAGTGTCCTACAAGAGTGACCCACAAGAGTTTCCTACAAGAGCGTCCCACAAGAGTGTCCCAGAAGAGTGTCCGACAAGAGTGTCCCATAAGAGTCACCCACAAGAGTGTCCTATAAGAGTGTCCCACAAGAGTGTCCTATAAGAGTGTCCCGCAAGAGCGTCCTACAAGAGTGTCCCACAAGGGTTTCCTACAAGAGTGTCACGCAAGAGTGTCCCACAAGAGTGTCCCACAAGAGTGTCCTACAAGAGTGTCCTACAAGAGTGTCCCACAGGAGTGTCCTACAAGAGTGTCCTGTAAGAGTGACCCACAAGAGTGTCCTATAGGAGTGTCCCACAAGGAGTGTCGTGTAAGAGTGACCCACAAGAGTGCCCTACAAGAGTGTCTCACAAGAGAGTGTCCCATAAGAGTGACCCACAAGAGTGTCCTATAAGAGTGTCCCACAGGAGTGTCCTACAAGAGTGCCCCGTAAGAGTGACCCACAAGAGTGTCCTACAAGAGTGTCCCACAAGAGTGTCCTACAAGAGTGTCCCAAAACAGTGCCCCGCAAGTGCTTCCTACAAGAGTGACCCACAAGAGTGTCATACAAGAGTTGTCCCACAAGAGTGTCCTACAAGAATGTCCCACAAGAGTGTCCCACAAGAGTGTCCTGTAAGAGTGTCCTACAAGAGTGTCCTACAGGTCCTACAAGAGTGTCCCACAAGAGTGTCCTGTAAGAGTGTTCCACAAGAGTGTCCTGCAAGAGTGACCCACAAGAGTGTCCTACAAGAGTGACCCACAAGAGTGTCCTACAAGAGTGACCCACAAGAGTTTCCTACAAGAGCGTCCCACAAGAGTGTCCCAGAAGAGTGTCCCACAAGAGTGTCCTACAAGAGTGTCATTTGGACATATGTAATAGCTTTTCGATCGTGTTTGCATTCGGGTTCGTGGGCTCCATCTTGTTTTTTTCATGTTTCTTCCAAGCTATCAACTCATATCCAGCTATACATTGTGTGTTTCAATACTCTCCAGAGCAAAGACAACACCTGGAAGTGGGATGTTGGCCGATTGGTTGCTTAAAGAATTCCGTTCCGGGCGGAAAATTTGACTACATTGTTGTCTCTTAATGTTATTGAAATACCTTGTGACTTTGCTTTGTCTCCGCAGGCCCCCAAAAAACTTTCTCTAAGCCAAAGAGACGCAGAAAAAACAACAAAACCGATCATTTGGAAGAAATGGTGCTGGTTCCCTCAAACCCTCTCCAACCAATATCAGGACCACTCTCACTATTCTGTGAAATTTGGAAGTCAGAATCTTTAGGTCACCAACATGCAAAACATGTAACACTTACGGGCATTTCATGCTGGGAACCGGTGAGGTCTCTTGTTCACCGATCCGCGGCCTCGATCCGCATGAGGTCCTGTCTTTGAGCTTCCCGCTGACCTGTGGATATGTGGGCCGCCACAAGCGCTGGCCCCTTGGGCACTGCACGATCAGGGACTTGGACGCGTGACGCGACTGGGGGAAACTCACTCACGCCAGACTAACCCCAGTCAGTTCCTAAGACATTCAATTCCTAAAGTACCACCACATAGCGCCGGACAAGCTGTTGGAACAGGTCAAGTACTGATTGAACGCAACTGGAATCAGGCTGGGAAACTCTAGCGAACCTTGGGGCTAGAGATATCGGATGGCTTGTGTCTCACGCGACCTTGTGGTACAGCTTTCTTGGACCTTGGGTGGCCTTTGAGTGGGACAAATGAATTGCTGCCTAAGCCAGCTCTATCACAGCCCTGGGTTCAGCCCTACCATTCACACTTGTTGGACATTGACAACACAGAACTCCATTCCTTCCAAAGCTGTCCTTGTGCACATTTGCATTTCCACAGCAAGACAACAAAAGTAGAGCCTTCCAATGTGTTTTATTCTCGAATGTTTTCGCGCGAATGTTGCAGCAACGCTTTCGAGGGTTTGTCCCAAAGACCCCACATCAAGGAGGGGCGTGGGGAAGAATCCGGGCGCCTCGACAGGAGACTCGAAACAAGTTTGCTGGGCCCAGACAGTTTGACTTGCCAAAGCCAACAGTATTTTTATGATCATATGAGGCTATATAAATCATTGTTATACTATATGTTCATGTTTGGAGATACCAACCATTGACCTTGTTTGAAGCATGTCTCGTCATCGAGAGCGTTTGGCAGGTCCACATTGGTGATGGAGATCGAGGAGAGTTTGGTGGATGAGTTTGGGCATCTGTGCTTGAAGAAGTTGGGTGGGTAGGTCTATCAGGCAGATGCTGAGTATCCAAATATGACTTGAACGTTTTGGAATTTGGACTCTGTCCCCACGAACAGTTGATAAGTTCTCTCCGTCATGTGGTCGGTGGGGAAAACACAAGATGTTGACTGGACATCCTGTTGGTCCATTCCAAGCTCACTGTTGGTCCATTCTCAATCCGCTCCAATTGGCACTGCTGCTCCCCTGTCAATTGTGCATACCCATAGAAAGGTTCTCTGGATACATCGCTTACACAGCTAAATAGCTTGCCATGTCATTTCCGAGTTATATTCCGTGAGCATGTGTTTTGACCTCAGTGGTTTTGGTCCCCTTACTTAGTGAAGTGTGACATATAGAATGGTGCAATTGAACCTTCATCAAGAAAGCCCAGGTCTGCCAAAAGCGGACGTTGGACAGGTTAACACTCATTCAAGCTCACCCTCATCTTGTGTGTGGTCATGTCTAGTAGCCTGGTACCTCCATACCATCTCAGTACCCATCTCTTATAGTGTGGGGTCAGACAGTGGTCTACCAGGGCAGGGCGCAGGGTCCGCAGGAGAGAAGACCTTCCCAACATCGGAGTGAAATACATCCCAAGACCTTGTGATGCCAAAGACCTGTTCGTGGCTGCCCAAAAACGTGCGGAACATCTGCTCAGGAGGTGAGACGGATTCATTGTCATCCACCGGAAACGACCTGCACTTTTCTTGAGTGTGGCAACTGCTGTGGGTGTTTGACACCCAGATCACATCAACCAAGAAGAAAGGGCTCTTAGATCATGGCTTGTAAGATCTCTATCAGTTATGACTTTCGTGTGAGACTACGTAGCCCTTTACGCATTACTGCAGATTAGACCTTGGCTGGTGATCCGTAAGGTGAAGGAGTCCGCATCAACAGTATTGTTTAACATGGGTGAGACGAGGAAGGTGGTTGAAAAGTTAGCAGGTACAGGAATGTGCGTCCACATTCCCCTCCGGCTGAATCCCATAGCTTCGTTGGCATGGCTAGGGAAACAGCTGCCATGCCACCCGCTGGACCGCTGTACAAGTGGATGGAGGAACCTAGTATGAATTAAAGTAAATCGAGTTCCTTAGTGTGGCCAAAATCCTTATATATAAGGAGTTGACACACACACACACACACACACCAACTAGCGGACATTTTTGAACGCTTCTCGTATCCCTTCCACTGGTGGGGGCATTGGAGGGTAAGAGTCAAAGGACTAAAGATCAGATAACGAGTCCTTTCGCCCCAAAATTCGAGTTATACAATTACTCTTCTCCGAATGGACATGCTGACATGGTGTGCGCCGAAAGATATTGCCCTTGCTCGACCCACCCTTTGGAGGATCTCCAGACTGCGCCCAGGCGTGATTGGGGCTTTCGGCTTGTGCAACTACATATGTCTCGCTCTCCGCCCACCTTTCCGCGCGGCGCTTTCCGGCGGAGACGGGTTCGATCGCGAAGGGGTGATGGCTGCGGTGCTGGTTTTCACGTCTGTGCTGGGGGTCGCAGTTCTGTCTGTGTTTTCTCCAATGACTGCGGTGTGCCAATGACTCGGCGCAGAGGGGTTTCTCCATTGAAGGGTCAATGTCGACTCCAGAAGGGCCTGAAGAGGTTTTGCCATCCAGAAGGGCCTGAAGAGTGAGTCTACGTTACAGCTAGAAAGGTGGCCTAGTCGGTGCCCGATGTTCTCGGAGAACAACCCTTTGCTTGGAATTGAACCCTTTGCCTGATTCTGAGGCCGATCTGGTAAGTTATGAGTTGAGGTGGTTCGACCTTGTTTGAATTAAACCCTGATCTCAAGGGAGTGCTTTTGCTTAAAACAAATATGTTTCTTGGGACTTGCAGAGACCCTTCCATGACTTTGCTCACTCCCAGGGCTTGGGTGGCGAATCTCCAGGTGGTTTGATGGTCTCTGGACCGGTTGGAGTAGTCCTCCTTATCCATCTTTGGCAGAGCGAACCGAGCCCAACACAGCCAAGCAGACGACGAAACGTTTGGTTTTCGTTGTGTTCCAAGTCATAGAGGTCAAAGGGAGAGGTTATTTACAGTGGTTTCAGAGTAGATCACACAATCCCCAAGTTGGGTGGTTTGTATGGACTCCCATGTAAAAGATCTCTTGGGGTGCCAGTGCCGTCTATTCTGAAACCACTATAAATGCGATTGATGTTCTACAGGAGGAGGTTTGAACGAATCCATCCAGGGGAGGTCCCTGTGTGTGGTTGGCGCAAGAACTCAGCACCACACGAACTGAGCAAAGTTCTGTGCTCACGTGATCACACTTCTTGAGGTGAATGACCTTGAATGAACTAGTAACCATAGCAGTACGTAGGGTAGCGAACTTTGGTCGTGGTATTTAGAGGTGATTTTCATGCATACTGTGAGCGGGAAGACACCCTAAGTTTTAGCATGTTTTAGTCTAAGTTTGATCTTTCCAGAGGTCCTTGGGTTATTGGAAGACACAAGAAATCACAATAATATCATAGAGAGCTGTTGATGATTCAGATTCAATTTACCCAGCAATCGATTGGAGACAGCCAAAATCCCTCATGAAGTTCTTTGGTTCACATTTTGCAATCCTCCCCTCATCGACCATGGATTGACTCATAGACAAGGGCTCTATCCTTCCTATGTTCATTTGATGTCATTTGTGTTGTTGTTTTTTTTTGCTTAAATGGATGTCTCAAACAAGTTGACCTGTAGAGAAAGAGGAGAATAGATGAACATTTGAACATGACATTGATTGTGGGATCCGCTAGACCTCTAGACTCTCCCTGGGCCACTCCAAAGCCTCGCTGCACCGTTACTTCTTTATTGGCCGGCGCGCACTCGTGGGCTCACTAGTTACAGCTGAGTAGGCCTATGACATGGAAACAACACTTATACAAATGCTCACATGCTTTTCAGTCTGGGGGTCTGCACCCAAAGTGGCACCAAGACTTGAAATGGCTCAATGGCTCAGAGCTAGCGCACCGAGCCGTCACCGCCAGCTCCGGAACACTTCCGCATGGTTCCACCGGTTCCACCGGTTCCCACCGAGCCTTCACCGGCGTTCTCCGGCGCCATGGAGCCCACGTCCGGGGTCCTGAGCGTCGCGTGGCCGAGCGAAGGCGGGGCCTTCGGACGACTTACTTCGGGGCGAAGACCGAAGCTCAGTCGCGGAAGAGATCAAGAATGGAAGCTGGAACAAAACCAGCAAATTGCACCTGGTCTTAGAGGAACATCGTCTTCCAGTCTGGTGCACCGGATCATCCGCTTCCGGTGGCCGGATCGTCCTCGTGTCTGACGCCTCGCTCCGGTCGCCCCTCCGGTGACCCGAAAAGAACAGAAATGCCAGGCATGGTCCCACACCGGGGTTTGCACGCCTACTTCGCAAATTCGTGAGTAGATCTATCATGATCTAGATCAGATCGTCAGAGCTCGTGCTGTACTTCGGAGCTTCCCATTTCCCTGTGAATTAGCCGCTGATCGACTTCTTGAATATGCATGGGTCAATCAGGAGTTGTTGTGCTTCTGCGTCTTTGCCCGGAACCCCATTGAACCAAAACGTGACCAGAGCTTTTCACAAGCCGTGAATCAATCTGCCCGAACACCCGGCCCGAACGCACACGTGCACGCACACGTGCACGCACACGTGCACCATCATGCACCTCCGTCGTGGACCATCATGTCGAATCATCCCCAATCCTCAACCATTCCTTTGGGAAAGAACTCCACCAGCAGTCACAAAGGGGTGCTTAATGGAGGTTAGGTGTGCCCATTATCCACTCACTTAGAGACCAAACACCATCCCAAACACCATGTGTCTCATTTGTGAAACCCTTCGACCATCTTAGCTTCTGCCCGAGGCCCATCGAGCAGAAGCTCCGAGAGGAGCTGAAGCAAACGGCCGAGAAGCTCCGTGGATCAGAACAGGCGCCGTTGGGAGAGGAAAGCGAAGAAGGCGGCTCATTGGTCAGGATGTGACTGCATTCCATCCTGCCAGTGGCTCATTGGGAAATGGTGGGAACGTGTGGAAAGGAGGTAAAATGGTTGGCGCAGTGAGTGCAGTGAGGATCAATGTAGACTCTTGATTCTTGATTATATCTCAAGGCCCATATGAAGAGGCTTTAGAATATTTTAGAATCCAATCTGGGAGGGATTCATGAATCTAGCGTTTATTTGGTGGACTGTCCTAGTTTTGTGGACAACTTGCTTGGATTCAACCACTAGGAGCAAGGACGCTACTAGGGGCTCCACTAGGAGCAAGGACGCTACTAGGAGCCAAGGGCATTGCTACTAGGAACAAGAAGCTACTGGGGGCTCCTGGCCGACTTTGGGCCTGAAAACCTCGCCGCAATCCCTCCCTTTGTTTGTGTGATACAATTGTTCTGGATCCTGTCTTGGAATATGTTTTACGTCAAGGTCTGATTCACATGGGAGACCGGCATATGCCCAAGAATTCTGATCCTCTCCCTTCCAAATTTCATTTTTAAAACTTCATCCCTTTGATCGGGCTCTCGTGAAACCCCCCTGTTCCAGTCGTTTCTTCACGGAGTCGTCGCAGGAGAAGCGGCGCCTCCAAGAGCGAAATGCCCCTCGGAGTGAGTCCCCGCCAGCGGTCCTGCGCAGGGTGAAGCTGTACAGGATGTGATGTGAATCTGAAACAAGTCGTTGTTGTTGTTGTTTTTTCCTTTTCCGGGTTCCTGCCATCCTTTGTTCAGGTGTCTATGGTTGGTTTTTGGTTGGTTTTAGGTTCTGTGGTTTGGGTTCAAGTCCATGTTTTTTTTATGGGGTGTGAGCCAGACCACCGACTGCGGCAAAACAATCAACTCAATATACATATTAATTAAATCATATAATAATATAATAAACAAATAGTATTGTATCAATAATAATATATAAAATGTTCGGTGGCTTCAGAGTAGATGGCACCATCCTCAATATGTCTTTCAGATGGGGGGGCCATAAAAGCCACCTTTGGGGGATTGTGCCATCTACGTACTCTCAACCCACTGGAGAGGATAGAGAGAGAGAGAGAGCGAGTGAAGCATCAAAACCAATTCGCTGCTCAGCTGTCCTCACTTTTTTTGATTCAGTTCATGGACCTTTTGTTGCGGCCACGATCTTTCCACTTGTTTGTGGCTTTCTTATGGCACGACTGCGGAAGGCTCTTGGAGTGGGGCTGTTTGGGGTGGCATTTGATGGGAGTGTTGTTGGGGGGGTCGCCCCAAATCTCAGGTTTGACAAGCAGTTTTCCCAGATCGTGCGGGCACAGATCACACATGAAGCTTGCGGAATGGGCCTCTGTAGAGTTGTGAACCGAATACAGAGTCCTAAAAGACGAGCTGAGCAGCTGGAGTTTTCATGTTCAAGGGTCAACCACCCACCTTCTGTTAGGGATCTATAATGGATTCTGTTTGACCTTCCACTACATTCTGTATATGTCTCCCATCGGATTTAGATGGAAGGTCCAACGCTGCTCATGTTTTGGGGGTCGGATTCTTGGCGAGGAAGAGCTCCAGTTAGCTTTCGAGGAGGCGGACAAAGATGCGCGCCACTTGTCAAGGGGCCGCATGAGGGCGGCATTCGGAGGCAGGGATGAGCATGGATTCCATGGATGGCACAAATCTGGCCTCATGACATTCCCAATCCATTCCCATCCTTGACGTGACGTGCTCATCTGCACTTTGAGTTTCATTCCCCCATTCCAGCGAGTTTATAAACTGACTCGCTCGTACTTCGCTGTGCTCGGTTCGGCGCTGTTCACGCTGCAAGCCCACGCGTGTTCAACGGAAGGATCTTCACCGGAGAGACCCCCTTTTTCTCGGAGACTGGCATGGATTCTTTCAGCTGGGGGATAAGACTTGACTAAAAGCTCGTTCTGTAAGCTGATGTGTCAGGGGCTTTGTCATTTGCAAGAGACTTTGGACCAGTCCATTTGCAGCGTCCATTTGTCCCAATCGCACTCCTTGTTTGCTTGAGTCGGTCTCATTTCAATTGCTCAGCCTTCAACAGGATCAAACTACAGTGGTTTCAGAGAAGATGGTACTGGCACCCCAAGAGGTCTTAGACAGATTGGGATCCATATATAAGCCTCCCATATAACTATAACTCTCAATCCACCATCATTATCATTTGTGCTTCCAACTGATCGGTTTGGTTTGGATCCAGTGAACGGCTTTTTGGATGTTCCAGTCATGTGTTTTGGTTGACAGCTCTGGAAACCGACTTAACAGGTACAGTATGTTATTTTCCGCATGAGCCGTTGCTTTGTAACGACTTGCCCGGGGCTTCTGGCTATCTATGTAATATATCATGTGTTCAATATGTTATTAATATGTTTTATGTTCTTTTCGCTGGATCGTTTTCACACCCAGATGACTCAACTGGGTGAATTTTTTTGGGGGTGGTACCTCACTCAGATGTGGTACGGTCAGTGAGTTTCATCGGAGCCTTGCCTCCTGACATCGCTGGTGTAACTTGGATCCGACAGTGGCGACGGCCACTGGTCCTTTGGGTTTCTGAGTCCTGTTGAGGCTGCAACTGACCAGGTGGATCCGCAAAGAGGGATGCTTTTGTGTACCAATCATCTCCACTCAGTTTGTCAGCATGTTTTCCCTTTGTTCAGACATCATGTCATACCCAGAGCCTTTGGTTGTGGAGAGCAGAGCTTGTGCTGTCACAACTGGACATCTAAGGAGAGGCTGAGGCCTTGAATGGC